AGATAAGCAACACTTTCTTAGGCCTCTTCTCTATTTTTTTTTCCTGTCCTTTCCACTTCACCAGACGGAATCCTACCATTATCATATAGATGATGCTGCCAATTTTAAGTATTGATTCTCAGATAGAATTGGCTTGAACATTAAAGTGGGGGCCTAAAAGATTAGTTTTCAGGCATATCTGTTTATTGTGGAAATTGGCTAAAATAAAAATTAAGGAATAAAAGTGTTAGAATCCTGTAAGAATAACAACAACAACAACAACAACAGCAGCAAACATAAACAAAGCACACAGTGTGGAAGAAAACCTAATTATTTTTTTCTTTTTTGTACCAGGGATTGAACCCAGGGGCACTTAGCCACTGAGCCACATCCCCAGCCCATTTAATTTTTTAATTTTGAGGCAGGATCTTACTAAGTCGCTTAGGGCCTGGCTAAATTGCTGAGGCTGGCTTTAAACCTGTGATCCTCCTGCCTCAGCTGCTGGGATTACAGGCATGCGCCACTGAGCCCAGCATGAAACTAAATTTCGAAGACTGGAAAGTTCATAGATATGCAACAACTGTGCTGTTCAAAACAGAGAAAACCAAGAATTGTAGATTAATTTCTGCTAAAGGGTGGATTCCAAAAGAAAGGCAGCAGATAGATGTGAAAGCCACGGCGGGTATGGTACTGATAAAGGAGTGTGGTTAACAGGCTTTAAGGAGCAGTTCAGCTTTCTATAGTCTCCTCATCTTGGCCAGCTTAGTTCTTTATACAGAGCAGACAGTTGACAAATTCTTTTTATCAATTGAAATGACATGACATGTAATAAACTTTTACTGATATTTGAGTGGTAAAGGGCTTCCCCCTACCCCACAGGATTGAACCCAAAGGCATTTAACCATTGAGCCACATCCCCAGTCCTTTTTAATATTGTATTTAGAGACAGGGTCTTGCTCAGCTGCTTAGGGCCTCATTAAGTTGTTGAGGCTGGCTTTCAACTTGCGATCCTCCTGCCTCAGCCTTCCATAAAGGGCTCTTTTTAAATGGAGAAGATAATACTTGATTCCTGTACATTGGGGTCTATGTGTAGATGTAAAGATAGACCTGTGATATAATCCTGGGGAGACTGGTAAGCAATTGAACATGTCCTATATGTGTCCTCTGTGCTTCTACATGCTTCTGTCTTCTTGATAGATCTATGGGACTCATTTTATGATTCTCTTTACTTTTTTTTACTATGTTTGAATTTTTTCCAGAATTTATAAAAAAAAGATTAAGTCCTTAAAGAACAGTTAAGAAGTTGGAAAAGTCTATGTATTTCTTTACCTCTTCTCTGGAGCTAACTTTGATATTGGCCTTAAATGGGTGACCCATTTAAGAGAACAGCTAGTTCATTCTGTCTGGTGCCATTGTTTTCCACAAATCAATATTTCTCTGCATTGTTTGAGGTTGTGCTTAATATGTCTCACAAGTGGTTTAACACGGAGGTACTTGTGGCTACACCCAAGTGGAGGGTGGTTACTGAATGATTGAAAGAACAATTGAAATAATGTGAGTCTAGGAACCGGGAAGAACGGTGACAACAAAGCGACGTCTTCTCGAAAGTGAAAGAGTGCTCTGATGAGTCCAGGGGAAGATTACAAATTATGCTGGGGACGTTGCGCCTGTTCATTTTTGAATTGTGAGTGGGGTTTCCCTTCTTAAGAGATACAGATGTTATTCTGATTCTTTAAGGAACTGAGGTCTGTCTTTAACACCTTACTTTATATTTATTAAGAAGCATAAGCTTTTCAGGATTAGTATGAACCCTGCTTTTGTAGAAAATTATAGAATAAGAGAAACTTCACAATCAGGCAGGGAATAAGGAAGACAGGTATCAGGCAAGAGAGATTTAAAAATAGATGGAAACGAGATGGTGGAGAAGGGAAGGAAATGACATATTTTCCTTTCAAGTCTGTGCCTAGCTCCTATTTGAGTACAGTAATTTGATTCATGCTTATACTCTGTGTCTGATTTATTACTGATTTCATCACGAGTGCCCAGCTCCATTGGCTCTTGCCCATTTGTCTCCAAGGTAGTGAAACCACCATCCACACAATGACTGTACCAGTTGACCCTGTTAGCACTTTTAACTCTCAACTTAAACGTCTCCTTTTGCTAGTTATTTTTAGATTTATTGTTGTATGGGATGTGTATGTTGTATAGCAATATGATACCTATGGTATGTTCTGCACTGTGTAAATCAATCACCATAATAGCGTCTCTGGGTGAAACCAGGGGCAGAGAGGACAGGATGAAATGGGGACAGAGAATGGAATAGAGGAGATGGGCAACAAAGAGGGACAAAAAACAGCAAAAATATGCCTGGAAAGAATAGTTAGAAATTAGCAACAAAGAGTGCAAATTTTCTAAGGAGAGAGCAAATTAAAATGAAGGTTTAAGTATGAATAGGGACAATTGTAGAATTAAGAGAGAAAATTATTTTAAAGAATAAGGAGCATTGGAAAACAAGTTCTGTTAATGGATTTGTATATAACTATGCCTTGGCTTAAAAAATGATAGAATAGTAAATTTTAAATATCCACAGGGTATTATAAATGCATTTCAGTAAAGGAACCCCTTTATAATATCCTAAGGACAGGCATGAAAAGTCATAGAAAAATTTGTTTGGAACAATAGAGTCAAATGGTTTCCAGAGAAGGATGAAAATGGATTAGAATTAAGAATAGGAAAAAAATACAGAAGAGTGGTCAAATGTTCTTTTGAAGAAATAAAAAATGAACACATTTGGAGGCTAACAGAAATCATTTTCAATTTTCAGTCTTGGAGGAAAAGTGTTCTGAATTTTTCCTGTCAATTTGTTAAACATTGAATCCCATTATCTTCTCATTGCTTAAGAATTATGGGGAAATTCCTTTAGGTGCTTGTCTTCAATTTATTTGATATCTTGGCATTTCTTATTTCTATCATGTCTTTTATAAGGAATCTGACCTACCACCAATACCTTGTGGAAAGTGTGACATGTAGAAATGCCCTGTCTAGATGCTCCTGGTGATTTCTTACCTCTTCAGAGTAATTCGATTTAAAAAGACTAGTAATTAAAGGTTAGCATTAATTATGGAATAATCTTTGCTTTGTCTTTTTCTTCATGAGACATTCAACAATTGTGTTTTCAACCATCAAACTTTCATGCTTGGTTTTAAGTAGAATTATAGTAATTGTTTTGGAATTTTTAATTAGATGAATAATAATTGAGGTGAAGACTCTTTTGCTAATTTCCCTGAGTTGACTTGGTACTAAATAAGCATGAAAGATACTTTCTATTGCCATTATATTTTTATATTAATAATTATACCACTTAAAGTTTAAACAGGCTTCAAGAACAAAATGCAGTGTCTTAACATAAAAATAAAAAGATTTAGTATTGTTCTTTGTCATTAACTTTCTTTATGTAAATTGTGTGCTTTACTAATTTCCAAATGAATCAGTTAGTTTAAACTTCAAATTTAAAAAAAAAGCAAGACTACTTACATGTGGTATTTGACACTATAACACAGATATTTTAGACAAAATAAAATGTGGGTAATCTACATTGAAATGTGAGTTAAATAATTCACTGATAATCCATTGATCTGAGAATGATAAAATTGATTTTTGTTATATTTATCTTTTCAGTGAAAACATTCTCTTCCTCAATCACAGGATCTCTTATAGAAATAAAATAAAAATAAAAATTAAACTATATTCCTAATGTTTGTAGGTTTTCTTTAACTAGAAAGTATAATTCTAAATTAAATATAAAATTAGGTTTAATTGTTGCTATTTGTGAAACATCAAGGGATTTTTACAATCAAGAATTTGTCATATGGTTTACATGTTCCTGTATTGAAGGGAAATTTTACTAAAAAACTGCTGTAGAATGATTGTATTGGTTAAAACACAAATTGCAAAAATGAGGCTTGACTTTTTCAAACTTTAGTTGTATTAAACAACTTCCTGTAAGACAAGTTTCAGCAGATCAGCACAAAATTTTCTTAATTTCATTACAGTCTGTAAATTAAAATTAATGAGTCTGACACCCACAATTAACAATGAAAAATGCAGATTGTTATAATTACTTAAGCAATAACATTGCTTTACATAGAAGACTTAAGGTGCTCCACAAATTATTTACAAGTGTTACATAAAACACAAAAAATGACAATTTCAATTTATTTTGTCAATGCAAAAAACCAAAATCCTTACTAAAACCTTTCTCGTTTGGGAATCTCTCGCCATGCATAATTAAGCAAATTTGATTGCAATTAAGCCTGGCTTCTACAGTAGAGTTTTAATTAATGCAAATCTGGCATCTACATCTATAAGATTAATTTTAGTGAATTAAAAGAAAACAACAAAGCATATTTGAGAGTGCAGTTGTATTGTTGAAAGGACAGGATTTTAAAGCTGGTTATTTTTCAGTCTTCCATGTGTATAGCTTTTGACTTAAAGTTTAAAGATTGGATATTTTGTTGAAATTTGTTGTTGTCTTTTTTTAAAAAAAAATGTTGTATTAACAAGATCATTAAAATTACACAAAGCCATTTCAGAAAGCCATCCTAAAAATTCAATATACCCTAAGAGCCAGGTATATGCTATATATGTTCATACACAGCACCTGCTTCCTTTGCAGAACTCATTTGAAAATATAAAGACTTTATTTTACATGTTTTAAAACGTGTTGAGTGCTTATATCTCAAATTTAAGAATATTGATCAGATATCACTGCTGAGGGTGTATGTGTTCTCTTTAAGTAGCAATGCTTAAAGTGGAATACCAAATAAAGTATGGAAATAGCTTGTTTTACCATATATGTATTTGTCATCTATACTATTTGATAGAATTTATTTAATTTTCAGTTAAAAATTTCATCCATGCTTTCTTTGAAAAAAAAAATAAATATTCTGGAGCACATATGAAATGATTATTTCTAATGCATGACATGATTTGAAACCAGATTTGAGATTTTTGATATTTATGTAAGAGTTTGGATTTATGGCAGGCCCATCCTCCTGGGTCTCTCATAGTGTCCCATGCCGGAGTAAACTGTGTCCCTAAACCATTGCCTGGCCTCTGTGCCTGCAGACTTCTGGCACTGAAGAGGATTGTACAGTTGAAGATAAAAAGGAAAAAAAATCATATTTTAAAGTGACTGTATTATTTTGATAATCTCTTGTCTGGGAAAAATATTGTTAGAAAAGAAATCTTGATATCCTAAATTTAATAGAATAAATAAATGAAGTGTCTGTAAAAAGAGGAATGTTTGTGTTTCTACTTTGTCCAAGGCCCTTGTGCCCCAAATGGCAGATAAAGTTGGACAGTTCAGAACTTGAAAAGAGGTGCAGGCCACCAATTTTATAAGCCTTCACCACCATCCTCTTTGGCCCAGCTGAGGACTCAAAGGCAAGAGGTTATAGTATCAGCCTAATATAGCAGAACAGAGAAAGAAACTGGTTGTAGGAAGAAAACTGCATTTGTAATATAGAAGAAGTCCTTGGCCTTGCGAGGAGAGCGAACAGGGAGCTCTTACAAAGGGCCCAGGAGGAAGAGAGTTATTTTGCCCATTTTCAAGGTCCAGCGGGTGTTGGCTCTAAAAACTCTGCAATCTCTGGGGAAGCTACTGCCCATTTGACATGTTGCCATCCAAGTAAGGATCATGCCTGTTACCTGCTCTGCCTCTTCCACCAACCTAGAAATCTATATGAATCTTGGAGGGAAAAGAGGGCAAAGGAATCTGAATACAACTAGGAAACAAAAGAAGGAGCAGCCCTCTTTGTCTGCTTTTGTAAGCCCAATTAGTGGGTGAAACTTGGTCATTAAATGAGATGAAAGTTTTTAACTATTACAGACTGTGCATCCTGACTACAGAGGTAAAATAAAACCTCTTTCTTTCTTTCTCTTTTATTTGTTCATTTGTTCTTTCTTTCTTTCTTTCTTTCTTTCTTTCTTTCTTTCTTTCTTTCTTTCTTTCTTTCTTTCTTTCTTTCTTTCTTTCTCTCTTTCTTCTTTCTTTCTTGATTAAAAGTGAAGTTAAATATTTTTATTTTTGAGAGAAACAGTAAAGTCATAGAATCAAGATACAAGGAATATCTTCTAGTAATACTGGTAGTCTTGAACAATGATGCTAAGTATTCTGTTAGGCAGTTACATAGAAAAGGTGGGTCAAGGGAACAACAGTAACAAGTAAAATGTAATAGCTATTAAGCATTGATTTCATTCTACAGTGTTTATATTGTTCTATATCTGTTAAAACTCTATCGTCTTTTTAAAATGGATTCCTGGGCTAGGCTAGGCAAGGAGGCACATGCTTGTAATCCCAGTGGTTTGGAAGCCTGAGACAGGAGGATCACAAGTTCAAGGCCAGCCTCAGCAACTTAGTGAGGTCCTAAGCAACTCAGTGAGACCCTGTTCTCAAAAACAAAAAAGAAAAACGGCTGGGGATGTGGCTCAATGGCTACGTGCTCCTGCGTTCAATCCCTGGTACCAAAAACATAAAAATAAAAAATAATAAAATAAAATGAATTTCTGTGGATTTATTGCTAACAAAGTTTTAAATTGTATGTACATTATATATATGTATATATATAATAGTATGCATGGTTTATATTTATTTATTACATATATTTGATCTTAAAACATTTTGGTTTAAAATAATTTTAAACTCAGAAAATTGCAAACTATAGTAGAGCGATCCAATGTATCCTTAATTATATTTCCCCAATGGTAACAACTTAAATAAGTATAGTACAAAGCTAAAGCTAGAAAACTGATATGGCTACAATCACAGACTTTATTCAGATTTGACCAGTCAAAATTTTATTACCTATCAATATTTCTTCTATCTTTCATTCTTTAGTGCATGTATTACCTACTTGGTTAGATAATTTTCATTTATGGAACATATATACATATATATTCTCTAATACATGGATTGCATGAATAACACACAAGACATTCATGGTCTAGAAGGAAAGGAAGATTTATAATAAAGAATTGCCATAATTCATCTAATCTGAGATGTTATCAATTGTAAGGTGTACCATTATTTTATGTGGCTTTAAATTAAATTATCTGAAATAATAACAATTTTGCTATTATAAGACATATCTTGATTTTAGAGTTGTTAAAATATAAAAAGGTGCATCTTAAAATGGATAATGTGCAGTACAGCAAACACTATAATATAGATGTGTTTGTCACATTATAGAATTTAATTGAATGAGTAATTTATTTCCTGGGGTGGGCTATGCCCAAGAGAAAGGCACAGAGAAAACACAGGGTGTAAGAGGATGAATCTAAAAGGCATAGGAGTTGCCGAAAAGCCCATGGAGCATGGACCCATGAGAGTGAGCAAGACATTCTTGATTCATGTGCAATGGTTAATGCAGAGTGTTGCTGGAGGGACAGGCAGGAATCTGAAAATGAGGCCAGAAAGGAGACTGGCATCAGTTGGTGAAATTCCATTCCTGCTACTGTAAAGAGTGCTACTGTGGAGTATTTAAGAAGGAGGGTGGCATTATGTATATTTTGAAATTCAAAATCCTATGACAATGCAAGAATGAATCTCAGGAGAAAGTTAAGGAAGGAGACACATTGAACGCTTGATATCAGTCTCTGCAAAATTCATTGCCCATAGGAAATCTGAGTTAATTTTTTTTCTTAAAGAGAAAAAGTCCATAAACTGAATACTTGAAAATTGTTTTAAAATTAATGCATTGTAATGTTAAAATTACTTGACTGCTCTCCATCATAAATCACAATTAGAGTTGTCTTTCTTTTGGGGACTATAGCATATTATTTAATCTTCTATTTAGCATGTATTTCAAACAATCTCCTTTTATGGATATTTTTTTCCTTCTATCTTCCTTGTAGATTGTAAACCTATTGGTGCTGGAGGACCTCTGATGATGGCCCCTGCAGGAAAGATGGGTGGGGAAGAAGACACCAGAAGCATAGGTGAGAAGATGACCCTCGGAGTCACCGTGGTAGTCAAGAAAGAAGAGGATCATTTTATATAAGTGGTAGAAAAAGATGAAAATGTTAGATGTCTGGAGATGTTTAGGAATTAAAATTCGGATTTCCTGATGACTGATCTTCTGTGGTTGAACAGGCAGGAGCCACGAAGGATTAGTCTTGGGTGTCTGGCAAGGGCTTCTGGATCAAAAGCTGCCTGTACTAACCAGGAAACACTGGAGAAGCTCTTCTGGAAAGAAAGTTGATAAAGGAATATTTGTTTAATATCACTTTAGGACCAGGACGGGCTGTATCATTTTCAGTACCATGGTTTAAATTTCAAGATGAAGATAACAGAACATTAAACTAAGGGTTGCACAGGTCACACACCCCACAAGTTGGTCCTTATTGAGATCTTCAGCAGATTTTAACTAGACCGTTGCTTTTATGAACTCAGATTTTGATAATTGTGTGGGATGAAGAAACACATAAGTCAAAAGATTGCAAAAAGCAGGCAAAGGTAAGTAATGAAGGAATCTATTTCAGGAGAAAGTATGGAGTGAGAAGAGCGAACCCTGACATTTAAAGATGGGAAGAGGTGGGGTGTAGCTCAGTGGTTGAGCATGTGCTTAGCAAACTCAAGGCCCAGAGTTGGATCTTTAGCAGCAAAAGATGTCTCCCTGCTAGGAAAAAAAAAAGGAAAGAAAATATGGAGAAGCCATCTATAAGAATTAAAAAGAATGGCCAGAGAACCAAAAGGAAAACTTATCTTTCCCCATAATAGTATTTGCTTTATATTATAACTGCCTTATACTTGCTCTGAATATAATTCTGGGGCAGACTGATTTCTTTTTTCTGACTCTACACTTACCTTTGAGGAAAAGTTTTCCTAAATTGCCTGGTTCAAATTATCTTGAAAAAAAAAAATAGAAAATTGGCCATCTTACTTATTATGAAGATTTTAAAAAAATAAAAAATAAAAGTCTCTCTTCTCTTTACCACTGATGCATCCTGGGAATTCAAGGATACCAGGTGGATATGTTCCACATTGTCCTGGGCTAAACATTGTGTGCTGAGTTCTTAATGTAATGTGGAAAACAACAGAAGCACATTAGAGCCAGTCAGAGGCGCTGGTGTGGTCCAACATCAGGGTGGTGTGCAGTCTGGACAAGGATGAGCCTTGACCAGCACAGGCCCAGAGGATAATCCAGGCCCTGAGCATCTTTCTTCTCCAGTGCTCTCCAAATATCTGTCTGTGGGCAAGATACTGCATTCAGGAAGTCAGCTCTTAGAAAGGATCAGTGTGGGTGCAGGGAAGTTTACCGGGGTCTAAGATGCATTCACCTACTGGTAATGGAGGACAGTTATTCCTGCCATCTTTCCTCACTAGGAAAGGCACAGATACTTTTCCAAGTTTAAAATGTCTGGTATCCCTAGACTACTCTTGCATGGAAAAACAGACATGTGGATGGTCACAAGTGATAAAAGACAGTAAATGGACAATGAAATCAGGTGAATTAGAATAAAAGGATAAAATGGAATAGAAGACACAGAAAAATCCATGTAGATACAGTCATCTGATCCTTGACAAAGGTGCGAAAAACTTCTGTTGAAGAAAAACCCATGACATTGGGCTGGAGTTACATATGTAGAAGAATGAAACTAGACCCATATCTCTCATCCTGCAAAAAATTCAACTCAAAGTGAATCCAAATTCTAGGAATTAGACTAGAAATAATGCAACTGGTAGAAAAAAACAGGGTCAATATCCCAACATATTGGCTCAGGCACCAACTTCCTTCTTAAGACTCTAAAAGCTCAAGAAATAAAATTAAGAATCAATAAGTGAGATAACATTAAATTAAATAAATCTTTCACAGCTAAGGAAATAATTGAGAACATGAGGAGAAAGCCTGTAGAATGGGAGAAAATCTGCCAGCTACTACTTCGAAAAGAGATTAATATCCAAATACATAAAGAACTCAAAAAACTCAACATAAAACCCAATCAATAAATGGACAATGAACTGAGCAGACATTTTTCAAAGGAAGAAATACAAATGGCCAATAAATATATGAAAGAAAATGTTAAAAATTCTTAGAATCAAGAGAAATGCAAGTCAAAACTACACAGAGATTTTATCTCACTTCAGTTAGAATGGC